TTCTTAGTTCTCTGATAAATATGTATTTTAATTGAGGTGTAATTGACATACAACATCATATTAATTTCAGGTGTTCTGATACGTTTCTTTAAAACTATGATTTTCTGGCTAATATCTTGTTCTTACCAGTAGAGTAGAAGCAATGTCTCTCAAGACTTTGTAAATTAATTTGAAATGGAATTCCCTGTTTTTTTCTTAATATGTTTAATTGTGCAAATGACAGGCAAACGTGGATCAATGTAGCTCAAGAATCAATTTTCCTCTCCCTTTAAAAGGTCAGAAAAAACAGTGAAAAACTTTAAAGTGGGCAAAAGTTTACTGGTGGCATTTTCAATGGAAAATTAGGCATTGTATATTATACCCTCTGAGTTAACAGACTTTATAGATATTTTTGCCTTTCATTATCTTTGAGCTATTTCACAACTTTGTAAATTAAATAAAACTGACAGTACTGCAAACTATTCTTGTCCATACAGATGTAAATAAAGTTGTCCAGTGGAGATACAATTAGTTACTGCCCTGTGGATATTGGTCAGTTTTGTGTCTATTAGTTAACTAATTTCAGCATTCCTGATTGCCTATATCTGTGTCTGCTCTTTGGATTAGCCTTTGAACTGTTTTTAGTTAGGTTGTCTTTCTTTTTTTTTTTTTTTGGCTGTGTCACGCAGCTTTCAGGATCTTAGCATCCGACCAGGGATTGAACCCGGGCCCACGGCAGGGAAAACACGGAGTCCTAACCACTGGACCACCAGAAAAAATCGCTAGTATTTTTGTTTGTTAACATTTTACTGTATTCCTGATTGATGAGTTAAATGAAGTATGTGTTCATTTTATATTTTATTGAGAGTTATGACTATATCCTTTATAAAAATTATTTTTTAACATGGGTCACGTTTCTCTAGTATGTTGTTAGTCTGGAATCCTGTACTCTCTCTGCTGCTCCAAGTTGCACGTGGACCACTTTGCTGCCATTTTCTGGGCTTCTTGGGCACAGACTTTCAACAGCATGTTGTTCCCTCTGGTTGAGCATCAGGTAAATGTGTGATAAGCCTCAATTCCACTTACAGCTCTTTTCCTTTATTTTCCACAACACCGCCACTTAAGATCATAAAAGGTTTTTACACTTTACTGAAGGATTTGGTAGGTAGCAGACATCTGTCATTTGTGACTAATTGGAATCTTTTGAATACCTTCTTCATATTTTGATAGTTACCTACTGTAGAAATCTTTCCATCCTAATGAAGAATCCAAAAACATCATTTCCAGCTTCCTTGCTGCTGGGTACGGATGTTAATTATGCCAATCAGATATATCACATGACACTGGCACAGAAATGAGTTACTTGGTAAAAGAGGCAGGACATAGATCGTCCATTTTACTGGCATAAAACTAAGCAGGAGCAGTGTTGTTTTGGGGCTGGCTGCTGTGACCAACTTCTCAATCATGACAGATGCAGCAATTGCCTATTTTACATAGGGCTGAATGAATGTAATAGAGTATTATAATAATGACCTTCAATGAATCATGCCCCTCTGTGTCTGTGTCCCTGTGTAATGTGACCTTGCAATCACTACATCAGGAAATGAGCCTATTTCTCCACTGTCTGGGACCTGGGTTGGCCTTGATCATCATGCTGTGAAGACGCCCAGTTTAGCTTACTAGAGAATGTGGGACCTCATACAGGAAAAACGAAGTTCCTCAGCTGACAGACAGCATGACATTCTCAGAAATGTCGTAAGGTCATCTTGGACTTTCCAGGCCAGCCTGGCTTCCACTTGGAAGGAGTCATATGACCAGCAGCCCAGAGCCTAGGTGAGACCGGCAAAACCATCCAGAATGCCAAACTGCAGAATGATAAGAAATAATAAATGATTATTGTTTTAAAGTCCCTAAACAATAATAAGATGGTTTAGGGTATTTTGCTATGCAGCAAAATAACTAATGATAAGAAATAATAAATTATTATTGTTTTAAAGTCCCTAAACAATAATAAGGTGGTTTAGGGTATTTTGCTATGCAGCAAAATAACTAATAAGATAACTGAAACAGGAATCTGGTTGCTGCTGCAACAAAAACCTAAAATAGTGGTTTGGGGATCAGGCAGTAGGCAGAGGCTAAAAAGGTGGCAAGGAGACTGTTAGTAGAGGCTAGAAGACCAGTGAGGGTAATTGTTATTAAGCCTTCAAAAAGGGCAACTGGTATAACGTAGTAGTGGAAAAATTAGTGGCACTGTCACCTTCTTTAACTCGTAAATTAGAAAATGAACCTAGTAAATTGGAGCTTGCTGATGAGAACCTGGAAGGTGCAAATGGCTTCTTTTAGCTTTGGATAAAAAGATGTTGTAAAATAGAAAGGAACTAAAAAAGGAACTGTTTTATTTGCAAGCACAATGCAGAAATGTGGACAGCCACAACTTGCTAGCAGATGCCACACATCCACTATTTCCTGAATGAGTTTATCTTCCTCTTTCTAAGCCTGCCCATATATTGGTAATGGTATCAGTAACACCAGATGTCCACACTGGAAACTGGGACTGACTTTAGACTTTTCCTTTTTTATTCATTCATCCATTCATTTATTATGAACTCAGATACTTTGTGCCAGGGGATATAACTGTGTCTCTCAATCCTGTATCCTCACAGACCTCATAGCCTGAAAAGCTCTAATTGATCACCAAGTCCTCCTACTTCTGCTCCCTAAATATCCCTGGAATCTACCCTTTCCTCTCCATTCTCTCAGTTCCTACTTTAGTCCAGTTGTCGTCATCTGACTATTCTGTATTCTGCCATATTTCCCCCTTTCATTCGTTTGTCACTCTGCTGTAAGAATGGTCATTTTACATGCAAGCCAGAGAGTGTCCTCCCTTTCTTAAAATCCTCCAGAATAAAGCTTAAACTCCATAGTTTGATGGTAGCCTATATTTTCCACCCTGCCTGAAGGTGTCATCTTCTTTCTCAACTCTCTGTGTCTTTTGCCTCTTCTCTCCAAAACACATTTGGTGAATTCATTCTTCAAGGTGACAGGTGAAACCTCATTTTCCCTGTGTAGCCATCCCCAACCGTTCTATGCACATTTTTAATATAACACGTAGGATAGCATATTACAAATCTTTTCTTGGCTATACTCTCCACTCTTGAGTAGAGGAAATCTAAGTACAGGAGGGTAAGAATTTAGTTATATTTGTCTTTGTTTTCTGAAATAGTACCTGGTATATAATTAATTCAATAAATGGTTTTGAATAAGTGAATGAGTGAATGAGCCTGTGTAATGGATATAAGATTAAGCTCACCAATTCTGGAGTGACAGTCACCTTCTCTCACACATGTAGCAAATTTATTCAACACTTATTCGTTTCATGTCACTTTGTCCCAGACATCAATCCCAACATAGTAATGAATGAGACATAAAAAGTCACTGCTTTTGTGGAACTTACATTCTAGTGACTGTGACAGATTAATAAAGCAATAAATAAACGAGAACATCATCAGATAATGATAAGTGCTTTGCAGAGACACAGCAAGATGATATGATAGAGAAAGACTGAGGAGCTTCTAGAAAAGAAGGTCCTCAGGAGGAGTGAAATTAAAGCTTAGATTTGAATGATGTGAAGGAGCCAGCCATGCAAAAATAAGTGGCCAAGTGTGCCAGATAGATTGAAAGGCTGGAGAAAAAACTCTGGGGCAAGAATGAGCTTGGCCTGTTCTCCAGGAACAGAAAGGAGACCAAGGTGATGGAGCTTAATGAGAGGGGAAAAGCAGGTAATGGCCAGTACTATGTGGTTATGGAAGCCACTTCAAGAGTGTGGAATTTAGTCTATGTGCAGTAGGAAGCTACTGGTAGGAGATGCCATGATTTAATCTATGTTTTAAAAATATCCCTTTGGAGTCTCTTTAGAGAAGAACTCGTGGTGGGTTAAGAGGGAAAACAGGAAGTCATGTAAGGAGGCCACTGCAGATGTCCAGGGAGAGAGATGGGATGGTGGCACAGGCAGTGGTGGTAGCCATAAAGAAGGGGAAGAAGTGTGCTGATTTGGGAATATTGTGGTTTGGAGGTTTGCTCTTGAATTTGATGAGCAGAATGAGAGGATAAGAGCTTTCAAGCATAATGTGATGAATCCAAGTCCTTTATTCACTTTTGTTACCAGTTCTTTCTTGTATTCATCATGAGAGAAAAGCGTGTAGAAGGAGACTCAAAGATCTTGATTATGGCTATTGAACAGAATGTAAAGGTGGAAAAGAGTGTGTCCTTGGATGGAGGATGTCCATGGAAATACTGAGTCTTTCCTTGAGGAAGGGAGTGCCCTGGCTACCAATATTTAGTAAGTCTGGGACACCAAAACAGATCGGCAGGAGGTACATGGGATCTACCCATGCCAGCAATATCAGAAGTTAAAGATTCCAACACAAAAAGAGCTCCTAGGCTTTTCCTTTAGGGGCATCAGTGACTGTGAGGCGTGGAGAGACAGTGGGACTTGGGTAACCAAAGTATTTTTGAAAACACCTTCTAAGAAAAACATCAGGTTGCCTACTGGAGCACTTTTCTAGCCAAATAGGAAAAGTGTGAGTGCCTTGAGGGCAAGGATCGTGTCTTAGTCATCTCTGAATTCCTACTCAAGGCTTAGCACCATGCTTGACATACAACAAACCCTAAAGTTCAACATGTATTGAATAAAGGAGCGGGGTGGAGACTCAAGCAAAGAGAAAAACGACAATTGTCTCAGATGATACCTCAGCATTTTGTGCTCTGTTATCTTCAATATCAAATTTATGTATTGTGGTTTAGTTTTGATCCTGTTAATACTAATCTCTCTGTCCTTGGAAACAGGAGGCCATCACCAATTCCTTCACTCCATTTGTTTTGATTAGACCAAATTCTCCCAGGTACATTTCAAAATTAATTCATGGTTTTTGTTCTGTTTTGTATCATTAGATAACTAATCGCCACTTCAATTCTGTTCATTTGTGAGAATAAACATACTTTATAGATACTTCCCTCGTTTATTGAAGAAAAAATACACCTTAATTGAATAAAAATTAGAAGATACAAATAAAGGTAGAAAATAAAGAGCACCCATGACTACTTGCATAGAAACTTTATATATTTCTGTAGGGAATTTTTTTCTATGTATACACACACATATTTGGGAGGGGACAAAAATGGCATCACTGTAGACTTAATGTTTTGTAATTTGCATTTTAATATTGTTTTAAGATAAAATTAATAAGTGAGAAAAACCTGACTTTTAGTTTAGAGTGTGCTTATTTCTTCTTTTCCCTCTTTTTCCTGGAAGTAGTGTTTTTTTTGTAAAATTATTCTATGAGCCCAACTGAGAAAAATGAGTGAAAGGTCAAGTAAGTAAGATGCCGGCCCTACTGAAGGAACAGTTGTATAGAGAGGAGTCAAGCATCTGGCTGACAGTTGGACCGCATGACCTCTGAATTCTCCAACTCTGAGATTCTGTGAATGAAGACAGGAGACAGGAATTTCTAAGCCTAACCAGACTGCAATGGCTGATGTAAGCTAGTGTAAGGGAGTTCTGGGAATTAGATTGGAAAGTCATATTTCAACCTGGTTGCATTTATATCTTGGATCCAAAGCTGGGTACGCAGTCTATGTGTGTGGAAACTTGAATTTGCAGGAAAGAAGATTGCTGAGGTCAGGAGTCATTTTCTTCCTCATCTTCCTCCTTCCTCTTCTCTCTTTTCCTCCTCCTCTTTTATTTACTTTTCCACGGAATGAACAACATCCTGAGCCTTCTCTTTCTTGAATTCCCATATGAAATAACTTGAGCTCACTTCCCAATAAGGGGGAGTTTGATGCTAGATACACAAATCAGTCTTCTTTTTTCCCATGCATCTGAAAACAGTAAAACAGTGATTGATCTTACATCATTTTACAATGTTATACAAAAACTCACATGCAAATAGGACTACAGTTTTTATTTTTAATTGTGGTAAAATACATATAAGTAGAATTTACCATTAACCATTTTAAACATACATTTCAGTGGCATCAAGTACATTCACATTGCTGTGCAACCATCACCACCATCCATCTCTAGGACTCTTTCATCATCCCAAACTGAAATTCTGTACCCATCAAACCTTAACTCTCCATTTCTCCCATCCCCCAGTCCCTGGCAACCATGATTCTACTTTCTGTCTCTACGAATTTGAGTACTCTCGGTACCTCATGTAAGTGGAATCATACAATATTTGTCCATTTTTGCCTGGCTTATTTCACCTCGCATAATGTCCTCAAGGTTCATCCATGTTGTAGCTTATGTCAGAATTTACTTCCTTTTTAAAATTAAATAACATTCCATTGTCTGTATATACTGCATTTCGTTTATCCATTCATCTTACTAAACATTTTCTAATGATAAACCTGTAACCCACAGTCAAGGCCTTCTGCTTTTTGGGCCTGGAAAAAGTTACTACTGTTTCACTTGAAAGTTTCCTAACATTTCCAGATTTTGACAGCCTAGAATTCTTTGAGTTGTTTTTTTTTTTTTCCTCTCAGACATAGCTGGTGTTCGCTCAGGGAGCAGGGCATCTTAGGGCCAGGGCTGTGGAGTAAATAGGTAAAGAGTGAGGTCAAGGCCATAAGTTGGTTCATATTACCTTATTCAACAAGTATTCACAGGTCACTTCTGTGTACAAGGCATCACCGTAATCACCCTTCCCGCAATGGCCAGATGTCCGTTTGGTGGAGAGAGTGGACAAAAGTGCTAAAACGGTAGGCTTAATACTACTTCGACTCTGTGCCCAATAACCAAGACAGATGGTTGGAGAGAAGTTGTGTGTCTCACTCACACACAGGGATTGCCATAAATCAAGAAACAGCAGAAGACAGTCAAGTAACTCTTTGCTCCCCCCACCATCCCACCCTCCTCACCCCAACTCCTTGCTTCCTGTAACTTGGATTGGAGAGCCTGTTGTAAATTAGATGCACAAAAGCAGGGAAATTGCTTCTCCTGACGCTCTTTTCCTGCACCACCCGAGCACCCCTGAATCTTACGTTATCATCACAGTATTTTCGGTGAGGATACACCCACCTGTGGTGCAGGGCACTGCAGAATGCTGTAGAGAGAATTCATCTTTTCTTTTCAGACACCTCAATATCTCATCACAGTTGTCAAAGCAGATGAAAACTAGGGCTGCTGCTGAGTCACAGCCTCTTCTATCGCACATCCTCTCTTCTACGTGTGTCCAGAGAATTGATGTAATTTCTCCAAACAGTTCTTGGAAAATATCTACTGTTTTTTGTGCCTCTCAGTAATATTACTTTGGTCTATGGCCAGAAAAGCATAGGTTGACTCTACTTTTTTTTAATTTATTTTTTATCGAAGTATGGTTGATTTACAGTGTGTGTTAATTTCTGCTGTACAGCAAAGTGATTCAGTTATACATATATAAACTTTTTTAATATATTCTTTTCCATTATGGTTTATCACAGGATATTAAATATAGTTCCCTGTACTATACAGGAGGACCTTGTTGTTATCCATTCCATATATAATAGTTTGCATCTGCTGACCCCAAACTCCCACTCCATCCCTTCCCCACTGGGTCCCCTTGGCAACCACAAGTCTGTTCTCTATGTCTGTGAGTCTGTTTCTGTTTTGTAGATAAGTTCATTTGTGTTATATTTTAGAGTCCACATATAAGTGATATCATATGGTATTTGTCTTCCTCTTTCTGACTTATTTCACTTAGTATGATCATCTCTAGTTCCATCCAAGTTGCTGCAAATGGTATTATTTCGTTCTTTTTTATGGCCAAGTAGTATCCCATTGTATATATGTACCACATCTTCTTTATCCATTCATCTCTTGATGGACATCTTTTTGTGTGTGTGAATTAAAACATTTTTTTAACTTATTTTTTGCGTTGGTCCCAATATTTATTTTTTTCTAATTAATTTTTTTTGTTGGAGTATAGTTGATTTATAATGTGTTAGTTTCTGCTGTACAGCAAAGTGAGTCAGTTATACATACACATACATCCACTCTTTTTTTAGATTCCTTTCCCATATAGCTCATTACAGAGTATTATATATATATATATTTTTTCTTTTAATTTTATTTATCTATTTATTTTTGGCTGCCTTTGGTCTTTGTTGCTGCATATGGGCTTTCTCTAGTTGTGGCGAGCCGGGGCTACTCTTCATTGTGGTGCACGGGCTTCTCACTGCGGTGGCTTCTCTTGTTGCGGAGCATGGGCTCTAGGCGTGCGGGCTTCAGTAGTTGTGGTGCACGGGCTTAGTTGCTCCACGGCATGTGGGATCTTCCCTGATCAGGGCTCAAACCCGTGTCCCCTGCATTGGCAGGCAGATTCTTAACCACTGCACCACCAGGGATGTCCCATTACAGAGTATTGAATAGAGTTCCCTGTGCTATTCAGTATATTCTTATTAGTTATCTATTCTATATATAGTAGAGTGTATGTGTCAATTCTGGTCTCCCAATTTATCCCTCCCAGTTGGCTCTAATTTTAATTAGCATTTATTGACCTATTCTTCCATATTATTGGCTTTTGAGGTTCTCTTCACAATCCATGTCTAATGTCTTTGTAGTAGTAGTGAGCTCCAAGAAGAAGTTTCTGACATAGGAACCAACCCAAAGATTAATAGTATATAAAAGATTTTCTACTTTTTCCCAAGAAATGAAGCAAATCAGTATGAAATATGAGACAGTGTAATTTTTCTAGACTCTCATTTCTCTACCATAGCAGGCAGCTTCCCTTGTAAATAAGTGCTCTTCTTTCTTCCAGAAAGAAATTTATTACAGGAGGCTAGTTAACTGCCTTGGGGAGTTGATGGAAGTCCCATCTCTTTGAGTCATGGTGCGTACCTCGGTGGGAGTGAATTCCACACAGAGTTTTAGTGACGATGATCTCACTATTTTATGCCTCATGTCTGCACTTTAGTTTATGTGCCAAGATTGCTTTCCCTGATGAACAAAGTTCTGTCTAAGGCAAAGTGATCTTGCCTCTTCACTTGTCCCTTTCCCCCTTAGTTAGCCACACTTTGGCATGTGGTACCTGTTAATGAATTCAACCAAAGATGGTCCCACTCCAGATTGTTACTGGCATTTGCCATCTGACATCTACGAGTATAACTGATAATGAGTGCACTTTAGCTGAAACCTTAGTCAGCAGTACCGTATTCCTGGGGGAGACTAGACCACTACGGCAAGCCTGTGGGTCCTGCTGCTCTTCTGCCTTCCAGGTAGAGGCAAGGGGATAGCACTGAGACACCATGATCCAAGAGGTGAACTAGGATGAGATCTTCTAAATAGCCCTCTCACTGGAATACCAAGGTAACATCCAAGTTAAGTCTCTTAACTTAGTACCCAAATTAGGGGCTTCCCTGGCGGCGCAGTGGTTGAGAGTCCACCTGCCGATGCAGAGGACACGGGTTCATGCCCCAGTCCGGGAAGATCCCACATGCCGCGGAGCGGCTGGGCCCGTGAGCCATGGCCACTGAGCCTGCGCGTCTGGAGCCTGTGCTCCACAACGGGAGAGGCCACAACAGTGAGAGGCCCGCGTACCGCAAAAAAAAAAAAAAAAAAGTTTGGATCCCTCACGAAGCCCTACTGTACTCAAGTTTACCAGGAGATCTGGGTAGGAATGGCGTTGATGGGCTTCATCATTTATAAAATCAAGAGTGCTGATAAAAGAAGTAAAGTTTTGAAAACTTCAAGTCCTGGGCCTGCTCACAGCCATCATTAACCAGCTTTACTTAGAGTGCACATCAGGTGAAACACAGTGTGGCTGTGAATTTAAGCAAGCTCTGTTATATGGAAACATAGGACGTCACTGTACACCTGTATAAGGGCCATTTCCTTCATGGAATGAATAAATGTACTTAGAAGATGCAAAAACAAAGCAAAACAAAACCCAGTTGATTCTTTAGGTTGATGTTCTGGTTCTATAACATTCCTTTTAAGCCAGGGTCCTTAACCTAGATTCCATGGACTCCCAGGAATCTATGAATGGCTTTAGGGGATATGTAAGACACCTGAAATTGTATGCACCATTTCGTGTTGCTATGGATATTTCTGAGAAGAGAGTCTCTAGCTCTTATCAGAGTCTCAAAGATGTCTGTAACTCCCTCACTCTCTAAGTGAGGTCATTTGAAATGACCACATTATATGGTGTATCGGCTCTCAGTTACTCATTCAATCGATTTTCATTAATAAATATAGGATAAGTAATTGCCCAAGAAAGGCACTATATTTGACATTTAGGGAGAGATAAAGATATAGTACAACTCTTGTTTTGGAAAAGATTACCATCTTTTGGGGATGGATTGCACAATAGTCCCCCAAAAGACAATTAACAATGCAAGGTTATGAATGTACCTAATAAGTGGTATGGGCAAAACATGCTAAAATAATTTAGAGAGGGAGGGATCACTACTCCTGGGGTTGTTGGACAGGAGCTGAACTTGAGCCTGGAGATGTAGCAGCAAAGCCTGACACTGGTGTTCAGCCACTGTACCCTGGGTGTTCATATCAGATATTAAATAATGAAATATTTCTGTGCCAGTTGGTTGCAGTCTTCCCCCAAGCCCACCCCAGTGCCTCTACTGCCCTGGCCGTATCTCCCCCAGGAATTCCTAGCACTCCCCCCACCGCCACCTTCTAGGATCCAGTAACTGTAGGATTAATGCCTAGCCCAGAAAGATCTTCTAGGACACCACTCCATCCTTCTGGCTAGAACTCTTCTGATGGTTCAGTGTCCATACTGATCAGTTATTGATATCTTGAATATCATCACTGCCTTTAAGGTATGATATGTGTTTGTTAGGAGTTCATGTGTACAATCGTATGACTGAAATAATAGAAAGGA